AGTGAAAAAGATAACTTTTTTATTTTATCAAAGATTGAGTAAGTAATCGAATAAGCTAGCATCAACAATTTTACAAACATGCATAGCTTTTAAACTGTAAAACAATGCAATTTTAATCATTAAAGATTCATATGTTTTTCATGCAAACATTTGTACATGGTAGCTTCAAAATCATATTGCTATTGTGTGATTGTTTGAAACTTTTATGGGTTCTGTTTTTAGTTGAGTATCTTTTTATTTCTGCTGTCTTGATATGAAAATTGATTGTCTCTTCCATCCTGTGTATCCCTTTGAACACTTTTCTGCACAAGTCACTGAGTTATATTCAAAATTTAATTAAACATCTTTACTATCAATGTATGTGAATGAAATTAACATTATAATGTATATTATGGTTCAAAGTTTTATGTTATATAACTTTTAAAAAATACTTAAAACTTTGTGTTTTGTTGTCACTGAACACTGTTTGAAACACTGCAAATTATCATACTGTTGTGTAGTTGTAGTCGGTGCAAGGTTGCAATACTAATGAATAGGTAATTTATAGATATGTAGAGTTTCTGCTCCTTGCCATGGAATTTGTTGCATAGGCTTCAACTAATAACAACCATGATTGTAAGGATTGGTTTTCATGGTGATTTGAATATTGAAACTGGGGTAAAGAACAATAAAATGTCATCATGTGATGCAATGAATTCTTCAAATTATTGACTGTTATAGATAGATTGGTTTAACAGTAACATAGAAATCACCTCAAGTTTTGTCTTGTGAAGAGTGGTGGTGATGTTAAGGTCATTGTGTGGGTCTGTTGTACTTAGCTCCGAGTTGGTCTGCTGAAAATGGTTAAAGCAATCTTAAATGCCTTTTCGTTTTTTGAAAATGTAGACAATATTATGTTGCTTGCTATGTGCATGTGCTGGAAAAAGTGTGTATGTTCATGATCTTTTACAGTTACATTCAATATTTAACTAACCAAATTTATTTGTAATGTATTTCTAAACTTGGCATCAAAATGTAGTCTATAATTCAAATTTTAGTATTACATAAGTTTTAATTTTGTAATTTAAAAAGGAAATATTTATCTCCACTATGTCACATGATTCCTCTGTGCTCTGTTAATTTAAATTCGTTGACGAAGAACCCACTTTGAGACTAATAATGGTTGGAGACGGCTTGAATGGGTAATGAAGGAAAACTTTAATATAAATTTAACATAACAGCAAATGTACAACGTTTCGACAAGGTTTTGTACCTGATGATGACAAAATCTTGTTGAAACGTTGTACATTTTCTGTTATGTTAAACTTATGTTAATTTTATTCTGGTAAAAGGTGTAATTTACCAAGCAGATTTTATTGAGTGAAGACCAAGGTCAGTACTTCAGTATGTAATGAAAGTTTTTACACCTTTTATATTATAGGTCAGTTAGAAAGCCAGATAAATTATAAGTTTTGGGGCATTCTCTTTTATTATTTGAATAATTGTTTGTTTTAAAATGCATATTTGAAAGCTACATAAATTATTTTTCAACAACTAACTTAATGAAAGAAACTTAAAGTTAATGAAAATTGGCTTCTTAGGGCAAAAGACCTCAGTCCTGAAATAAGTAAATACTTTTTTTTATCAAAAATTGAATTTTTGTGTACAACATACTTGTAATGTTTATTCCTTCCAAATTTCATAAAGATAAACATAGTAAATGCACATGGAGTTAATGGAATTCTATAGGGATTGACCGTATATCCTTGGCATGATAATTTGCTATAGCATACTGCACATCATGTCTGTCCAGAATATAGGCCTAACCAAAATCCAGTCAAACCATTCTTAAGACATTCTGGTATGCTATAATGCATTATAAAAATAGGCCTCAAACTCTCACTACATTTGGAGCTGCTTTGTGATAAGTGTTATTAACAGGGTGTAGGCTGTAATCAGTGCAAGGTTTTGAGCCTTCCATGAAAAATGTGATCCCAGCATAGCAAAACCAGACACCCTTCTTCTCAGTCTGTACAATCCTAGTATTTCTGTTGATGTTGTCTAATTTTTGTTTTCTATCGGTCATTTTTGACTTCTGAATTTGATATAAAATGATTTCTTCATGTTCAGTAGCTTCCAAAATGTATTAATAAGTCAGTATCTGATTCTCTCAAAGCTACCCCAGGGAAGTTACTTCAGGTGAAGTATGAAGACACCACTGCTACAACAATCTCTTTTGAATTTCTTGGTCCTGATGATGATGGAGGTATGCCCATATTGGCATATATGGTTAAGTACAGAGAAGAGAGTGACTTACCTGAAGATGCAGAGATAATGGAATGGAAAGCAGGTAATGCTACCATTTCATTTTTTTATCATTTGTTGGTAGTGGTGATATTTTTAGAAGTATATGGCTTATAGTTATTTTGTAGTTTTTTGTATGTTTAAAGCTATTTTGTAGAATATATAATGAATTTACATTAATTTTATTGATGACTTAATGTGATGGGTTATATTCAGTTACACATGCACATACACAAAATATTTACCAGCTAGAAGACTGTTTGAAGCCAATTAGTCTATGGTTTTATACTTGTTAGACTAATAGTAGAGAAAACATTGTAACTTCCTCGAAGTTCTTTAAGAAAAACGTTATAAAGTGTTTAATGTTAAGTAATGGTAGATAACTGTAAAATGAAAATTTTTGTCCACACTTTTATTTTTCTCACAGAATGTTCCTCTGATTTAACAAACATCAGTAAAGATTTTTATAACATCTTTGAAGCTTCTTGAGGTGTTTATATTTTTTTACTATTTCTACCTTGTATATGCATGCATTTTTTATTCAGAAATGTAAGTAATTTGCACAAAGATAACATGTTTTTAGTTATAATAAAACATTTAATCAAAGAATAAGTTAACATATAAAAGAAAAATTAAAGTTTGGTCTACATATTACTCGTTTATTAGCAGCCTTTAAAGTCAGTATAAAAGAAGTATGTTTTTGTCATAATTATTCAAGTCCTGCAGAATTATTAAATGTATGGTCCTGAATTCTAGAATAAAATATATACCGTATTTGCCAGTGTATAAGATGATACTTTTTACTCTTAAAACAATGCCTGATTTAACCCATCGTATTATACACAGGTTCAAAGATAGAGTTCCAGTAAGAACTCTCTAGTTAATAGCATATTTAATCAAAACTATGTTGTTCCTTTTACTTTTTTTCATTTTTATTTTTTGAGTAAGTGCATTGATATCACGCCATATACTGCTTTGCAATAACATATTTGTAATTGTATCATTTGTCTCGATTCTTCATAACTAGAAGTTATTTGTCTCACATGCTAGTTAAATTAATCAAGATATTTTTGATTCGAAATATATTTATATCATCTGTCATACTAAAATATTGCTAATATTATATCAAAAAAAAGTTAGTTTCTGTAATGCACACTAATCTTGTAAATATGTTTTTACACTATATCTTAAAGTTTAGTATTTTTTGTAATAGAAAAGGAGTTCATCTGTGTTGAAAACTTTGTAAATTTGTTTATGACATGTTTGTGACTTAAGTGTTATGCTGCATTGAACTGTCTGTAGCATTTGAAGAGCATAAAAAACTTCAGTTGTGGTTGTATTTATTACCCAAAAGTGCAGGTGACCACAGTTTAAAAATAGCTTTTAAGAACTTCTTTACAAAAATAACATTCTAGACTTGCTTGACAATAGAGGTCTTCCAATACACTAAACCTCAAAGAAATACACTCAATTTGCTCAAAAAATCCAGGGTCCATTCATTTCGTACACTGACAAATACAATATTTTTAAATTTAAGGTGTTATTTGGTATATCATACAAAAAAAATCAGTATCCCCCTTTTTCTTTTTTTATAGGAACTATTTACACTCTGGAAAGTCTAAAGCCAAGAGCTACTTACAAGTTTCAATTTGCTGTAAAGAATGCAGTGGGTACAGGTATGTGGACAGAGGAAAATTCATGGACAATGCCAGCTGAATCTGCCCCTGAACCTCCAACAATTATCTCTCCTCCTGGAAATGAAAGCACATACCCTGACAAAATGGAAATTAAATGGAATATCAATGAAGACAATGGAAAACCTATTCAATATTTTCAACTTCGTTACTTTAAGGTAGAGATGTTTTTTAATAAACTAGTGTTCAAAATACATTTAATAGAGAACCTAAAGGTAAATAATACTTGTGCATAAAATTGCTTATAGACAATATAAAAGTATAATATACGTGGTTCTTGAGATGTTTCTTTACAGCCAGGATTCATGCAGAAGTTAAGAAAGCTCTATGTCACTGAAGTTCATTATTCCTGATACAAATTTTGTTTTTGTTTAAGATAATATGTATTTAATAAAGAACACACAAGTTAGGACATAAACACATTTACGCATGTCAAAAGAATGATAAACACTTCATATATTTTAATATCCAGTAAGAAAGACAAAACTATACATGAAATATCACATTCTATTTTTGTAGTATGACATGTTTAACATTAACAGCATTTTTTTACTTAATAAAGAATAATTATAGAAATATCTTAACATACTACTTCATAACTGTATTAGTTTGTTTACCAATTCAAGTGATCCTTCAAAATTCATAGGGTATTTGGAGTGTTTAACTTTTTTGTTTTGGTGGCCTTGATTTTAATTATTCTGATCTCGAAACACTGGATTAGAAATGTTATCAGATTTTGTTGGTTTTATGTACATTTTGGACACCTATCTGTTCTTACGATCCTACTTAATGTATTTTTGAACATATCTAAATTCTTCAGATAAAACAAATTCTATAGCTTTTATTGGCATCTAAAGTTTATGAATGTAATTTTTCCTTCCCAAATGACTGACCAAGTACAAATTTCCAAACTTGTACATCAAATTCTGATGGTTTATCGACAATCAAAAGATTGTTCTTTATCATTGACCTTCTTGAGGAAAAAAAAGCTGAAGTAACTCAAAACTTGTACTCTGTTGCTTATGGAATGATTCTTTTTTTATATAATGTGAACTATAGCTAAAATGCAAAATGTTAACTTATAAAGGTAACTGAAAGGATTCGCTTCACAAACACTTTGTCCCCCCGTGGGACAATGGTAAGTCTTCAGATTTACAATGATAGAATCAGGAGTTTGATTCCCCTAGGTGAACACAGCAGATAGCCCAATGTGGCTTTGCTATAAGAAAACACACACACACACACTCAAACATTTTTTGAAATAAAAGAATATAAAGATAGATATATATATATATGGGAAACAAATTACATTCTAGTTGTTTCTTCAACCCAGAATATTTGTTTCCAATTAACATCAGTAATTGTAAATTTACATCATTTCAGGTAGTGGGTCCATTTGTAATGAATTTTGAAAGGATCAAAAGTGAAGTACCAGTATTTAAATGACTAAAACATTTCAACTGTGTTTTACATTTAATTTGTGACTTGGATGATAATATTCAGCCCTCTGGTTTTTGCAGTTATTTCAGTTGTTCAGTTGGTACCGAGTTCATTTGAAATATTAAAAAGAACATAATCTTACAGATTACACTACCAAGGACTGTTTCTTCAAAAGTAAATTTTATTTCTGCATTCAGAATATATATATGTTTTATACCTAATTTTTTATTAGATTTAAATTCTTATTTATTTCTCAGTTTTTATAATCATCACTAATTAATTGTGTCCTCTTTTATAAGTGTTACTTTTTAAGGTATTCAATGCAATGAATCACTTTCATTTCAAGGTTAAAAGAGAAAATGATGAGAAAAAAATTTGGAAGCAGTATGGTAAGGACAAAGTAATCAACATCAAGGAAGACTGGGAAAGTGGCCATTTCACAATAACTGGATTGGAACCTAATTCTTACTACAAGGTAGAGCTGAGAGCCAGAAATGAGATTGGATTCAGTCAGGATGAAACAATGATTTTCAGAACAGCTCTTGGTAAGGATTTACCAAAGATGTGAAGAACAGAAATTTCATAACTTTGTTTTATATTTAATGATTTAGTTGTAGGTTTTATTGTTATCCAGCATTTAAAGAAAAATTATGATTTCAAGTTTAGGAAGATAACTTGTATATATGTTATGCCTGGATCTAGGAATCATGGATTCTGATCAGAAAGCACCCATAGCTCAAGAAGATGTACCCACAGCAGTGATTATTGCAGTTGTGGTGCTGTTGATTCTTGTGATACTTATTGTCATTGATGTAACATGCTACTTCCGTTATCACTGGGGAGTATTGTACTTCTTGAGAAATAATGCATGTGGAAAGTCTTCAGAAGACAAAAGTAAAGAAGCCATTGCTGATGAAGAGAAGGGAAGGTAAGAATCTTTTAATTGAATGTTTTATGTATAATGTGATAAATTGTTTAACCACTTGTGTGGTACCAAAAAAAGGAAAATGGGCAATGTGCGTATTTTATTTTGTGGCAATCATTATTACTGACATTGGTACCACAGATATCTATGATCTGCATATCACTTATTAATTAAGAGTAATATTACAGTTGTCTAATTATATTCTACAGATTATTAACCTACTAAGAATGATTCTACAGTATATAAAAGATTTTTGTTCTATGGGTTACTAATCAGCTAAAATTGTTTCTTGTGTACAAAAATTGCTTATTTTACAAATTATTAACCTACTAAGATTCATTCTACAGTGTACAATAGCTAGTTGTTCTACAGATTATTAACCTACAAATGTTATTATTTCGACAGTATGCAAAAGTTGCTTTTTCTACAGGGCATTAACCTACTAAGAATGATTCTACAGTATATAAAAGATTTTTGTTCTATGGGCTACTAATCAACTAAAAGTGGCTTTAGTGTAGAAAAAAAGATTAATTCTACAGTGCATAAGACTTGGTTTTTTCTGCAGATTATTAACCTACTAAAATTGGTTCTAGTGTAGAAAAGCTACTTGTTCTACAGGTTATTAACCTATTAAAATTGGTTCTACAGTATACAAAAGTTGCCTTTTCTACAGGTTATTAATCTACTAAGATTGGTTCTACAGTGTATAAAAGTTGCCTTTTCTATAGGTTATTAACCAACTAATATAGTTCTACAGTGTATAAAAGGCTTCTTGTTTTATTTACTATTAGCCTACTGAAAGGGTTCTATGAACAAATGCTGTTTTACAACAGGGTTAACTTATCATTGATGTTACTGTACTGCATGTTTTAACATTGTTACCATACAAGTGCTATTTTGGTATTGATTGTAACATTGCTAACCTAGCTGTACCAAATTGTACATTTGACTTTATAAAACCTACAGTTTCTAATAGATCTTGCTGAAGAAGTACTACTAAACTATGATTATCTACTGTAACTGGCTGAAGGCTAACTTTTGCAGACTTTCTTCTGTAGTACAACTGATGCATTGATATTTGTTTATGCAAAAGTTGCCCTAAACGTCCAGCTTTAAAGGCATTTATTAAGCATACCTTCTTTAATGAATTATACTTGTGATTTGAAAATTAAAACTTGGGTATAAAATGCTTGTATTTTATAGTAAAATGTAACTGCTTTAGTACTATTCTATATTGTCCAACTAGATAATAGACAAAGTATATGAAACATTTTCTAAGCTTTGTGTGTGTGTGTGTTTATGTTTGAAATATTTTGCTATATTAGTGATGCTTATTGTGAAGTTAGTTGGAGTTTTTCATGATACCATTATTTTACTGTGAATTGTCTTTGCTTATGAAACAAAGACAACCTCTGTATTCTCATAAAAAATCTTTGTTTACTATAGAAACCAAACTCAGTAAGAATTTAATGTCATATTGATTTCTTAATTTGTAGTTATGAAACTTGATTCACTCGCTTAGATGTCCAAATTAAGTGCAAATTTAGAAAAGCTACAGCTAGAGAACATTTTATTTACTTTTTATTTATGTTTGAAACAGTATACCTAGTCAATGATTGAGATAAATGTCTCTGTCAATGACTGTAATAGCTGTGAGTTACAGATTAGTTACTTTATTGTTGAGTGAGGAGACCTATATCTTTTTGTGAAAGGTTTAGTTACCCAACATTTGAAAAGATAAATGCTTCTGTCAATGACTGTAATAGCTATTTCAGTTCATTGTCTTTCAACGATGCAATTTGTTGAAAGAAAACTTGTATATTGAAAGTTTTAAAGTTGGCAGTTATTCCACCATTTCTTCTTGACTGTACAAATACACTTTTTTTTGGTCATATGTTAACCTTTGTTTGCATGACTAATTTTTTACACAGTAACATATTCCATTAGCCAGGAAATTTCACTATTATTAATAATCTGTGAGCTATAATTAGGTAGTTATTTGTTGATGATTCTTTAATTTATCCTTTATACTTATAAATATATTATTTTGGAATTTGGTCAACATACTTTGTAAGACCTTCTTAAACATTACCCATGGTCTTGTTATTTTGCAATGTTCTAGTGCACATAGTTCCAGGAAAAGAAAATTACTGTTACTTTTTTTTTTAACTATAATATTATCTTGGCTTTTGTACAGCTTCAAGCACCACTGACATGAGCAAAAAAGCACCATTTTATTGTTTTATAAATAATGCAATGTTGGCTTTTCTGCAGCATTCCAGCACACAAGGAACAGGTTAAAAGCACAGACGAAGTTACTGGTTCTGCATCCCCAACTGATGAGTAAGGAACATGGGTCTTTTTTTTTTTGCATGTACTTTTGGGAGTGGGTTCGTGTATAAAACTCTGCTGCCAAGAATAAATGGTTACCAAATAGTAATATATATTATTCTTATTGTTACATCATATAAATAGTGTTAAGCTTTCCTTTTCCACCTGGATCTAGTTTAATCAGATATGTATATTTTTAAGAAACTGCTTAGTTATCTAAAAATAAAAAAACATCATTATAATTGAAAGGTCTGTTGTTCTGTGTTTCATGGTTTAGACATTAAGGAAGTCTGTTTACAGATTAGTTACTTTGTTGTTGAGTGAGGAGACCTATATCTCTTTGTGAAAGGTTTAGTTACCCAACATTTTTAAACTTTTAGCTTTTACCCCTAGATTTGAATTCTATACTTCAGTTTAAACATTTCATTAAATAACAGATTAAAAAGGCAAATATGTCTCTTAAAAAACCCTTATACATATGACTTAAATTTCTAGAACATTATTGTTTTCTCTGCTTCACAATTTTTAGATTTAGTGTAGTGTTCCTAACAATTTAAAGATTTGGAATAATCATGAGATTTAGGTGTTGTGTATTCCTAGGGGGTTTAAAAGTATTGATGTATTATCTTTTATGGGCTGAATCCCCTGATATAGAGTTAAATGTCCTGCAATTTAAAAGCTCCCATATTTAATGGTTAAAACTAATTCTTACTTAATTTTGCTGTTACTTAATGTTTGTTGTGGTGAAATGATAAGATACTTAAGCTATTGGTGCATGTTAGATTAAAATAATTACATTCATTGTATTTATGATATAAAGGCTAATTCACAATAATAAATGTTGAGGTTTTAAGATCCCTTGTGCCTAGTGGGAGGAGAAAAACACTAATATTTAGACTAAAATAATAGTTAAATTAGATGATTTAATAGTTTCTTAAAAGAGGTTAGATGCTTTGGTTAAAGGACTGTATATAAAATGTCATGAGTGATTTGCTACAATTTAAATTATTCTCTCAGCCTCCAGATAATATTCTATAGGATTTGCAAATCTTGATATTAAAAGTCACAAGCTGCATGGGATGCATGATGAACAGCTTTTTGTGAAAAGCATATTTATAATAGTGCATAAATGTCAGTATGATCATAAAAGAAAATTTTGCATGCATTGTCCTTCTTTTATGTAGTTCTAGTGATCACAAAAGTTGTTTTCTATATTAAGGTATTGAATTTCACTTAATGCATGTTAATTTAATACTCCAACTGTTGCATGTATTTCTCATGATGTGAAGTGTAGACATCTCCCTTCTTTGTATCACCAATCAATTCTACTACCATTTGACATACCAACTCATTTTGTGTCTGTAAAGTGGCTTGTTTATGAAACTGAAACTTACTTGAGAGATGCAAGATGGGTCAGCTTTTCTCTTGAGTGCTATCTAGTTACAACATCTAAACTTGTATACTTAACAGTGATTTGAGTTATGTGCTCGTCCAAGTGAAATGTACTGAATAAAAGGAAAATAATCAGGAACTATATTTTTGCACAATGAACCTTTACTATATTGATCAGTGTTTTGTGTGATATTTTATTTGCTAGTACAACAACTAAATAGTCTGTTTATATGTATAAGTATGCATATGACAACACACAAATGTCAACTGCAAATGGTATATCATCTGAAAGTAACAATCAGATCTATTTACTAATGGATATAGTTGCTCTAGCATTTATTTCATAGAGCTCACTTACACTACACACAAAGATGGGGATTATAAAAGGTCAATTTTAGATCTCTTGCTCAAAGGAGCAAGGGACAAAAAACTGCAGAAGACAAGTATGGAAATATGATAGTAATTGTGTTGTAGTATCTACCAAATGTTTTCTAGTTGGTAAAATATATATGAACACAGTTTAACTTTTAAAAACTTATGCTTGGGTGTTTTTGATCCACTATGTCTTAAATCCTAGCTGTGCTCTCTGGCCACAGTCAATAAGAAGCAAAGCAGCAATCAATAAAATTTATCCAAAACATTACAAGTGTGGTATTACCTAAAAATGTTGATGTCAATCGAACTATGAGATCAGAAATTAAGAATACTTAGTCTGATGTGGTGAAAAAGTGATTTTTAATATGTAATTGCAGTCTCTGTTTTTCAATCTCCTATGGCCAGGTAGTTGTGAAAAAATTGGTTAGTCGATTCTCAACACTAACCTCTTCTCATGTTTTTTATATATTCTTTTGTTTTAAATCATATCTGTACAGTGAAATGAAATTTTTTTTTTTGGTATTGAAAATATGCTGGTTATTAGCACATTATTATTAATATGCCATACAACCATGATTGTATTAGCTTGTGAAAATTACATACTGCTAATTGTGTTTGTCTCCATCTACCTTATACGTGTAGAAGTTTTATAAGAAACATTTCTACTTTGCCGTTAATGTGTGTATTCCAAGACATGTTATTGAACTGTAAACATACAGCACGTATAAGTGAGTCTAATAAATGTGTAGAAACACCAATTAAATGTTGAACAGACTGGCCAGAATTTGTTATTCAGTTCAGACTATTTGAAACTGACCTTAATAGCCACACAAGTTAGTACTCTTTGCAACCAATTGTTTACAAGAAAAATGGGTATTGATGGTTATTGTGACAGATTTTAAGAAAAGTATGAATATTCAGATTTTTTTATCAATCATTGTTCCCAACATTTTTTAATACTATTTCACACAACATATACGTTACTTATTTTAGAAGATCAACCCAAATTGTAGCACTTGATAACCAAACAAGTAATTCAAATAAAATACTTATATTTCAGTAAAAAGGACCTTATCCAAGAGTCTGATGAGAAACACCAAAAACCAAAGGATGGAGAAGTAGCCAGTGAGGACACACCAATGATTGATCCTAGTAGGTAAGTAGATACGTGATGCTTTGAATATCAGGGTTTTGCACAAGGTGGAGTGACTTATTTAAGCAAGGCTTTAAATAGCCATCAATTATTGGTCAGTGAGTGACAGTGATAAGAAAATGACCAAAATGGTAGTACCGCATGCAACATCAAGGCAGACCCTAGAGGAATATCAACATCAGTTTTTTTCTGGCATAACTACGATGTAGACAGAACCACCAAAATAAAAGTATTTATCTTTGTTATATTTTTCTTAACATCTTATATCTTAGTTCTGTAGAAAAGTCGCATTCTCTTCCCTACCCTGTGAGTTGTGCCTCATGGAATCCACTACCATCTTTAACACAAAATGTTCTTATTTGATTTCATAGCTACTGATACATATTGTATTTATTATTTCTCTTTGTGTGCTCAGGGGAATTTATCATAACTAACAGAAATGCCACCCTACAGGTAGCAGTTTGTGCTAGTAATTGATAATTGTAGTATTCATACCTCATTGAAAAAAATTTACAAAAAGTGGATTTTTCTGGGAAGTATAGCATGGGAAAAGTGTTTGAACTGTGCTGATATAAACTGTAACGTTTTTATATATTAAAAGTGGTACCCATAATTGAAAAAAATAAGTGTTTTTTTTTTTTATAATATATTTACAACTTACATCAATAAAGATATAATTGAACCCTCACGTACAGTCCTACTGAAACTCCTGTTTTTGTTGTGAGGAGAGTAATTCTTATTAAAATTGTGTTCTATGATAAACAAATGGTTGTTGCACATACTGTAGTTATTTTTCTAATTGAATCTTGAATACCCAAAATGTGAAATTTTTTATGGCGTTTTGTTTGTGGTGCCATTCAATAAATGCCGCCACATTGTATTTATTATTTTGGTCATATACATAGAAAGATACATGTATATACACGCTATGTCCATTACAGTAAAATGTTGTGTTCTACAGTTACTAATAGCACAATAACTACACTAATTGTTCCCGAGTTCTAGAATGTATAAAATGGATTGAGAGAAAATTAGTTTTCTGTTGGAGAGAAAGTAAGTAGACACACAGAAAAATAGAAAAAAATAATATTGGTTATTTTATATTTTTTCTGGCTTTTATAAAGTAATTCTAGAGAAGATTTACTGTGTTGGTTATAAAATTATGAATTTGGTTTATGACTATTCACAAAAAAAACAAACTTGGATTACAAATGGATTTTTTATTAACAATTTATGGATATTCTGAAAAGGCTGAAAGAGTTTGTTCTATATCTCAAAAATCTGACACCAAATGTTCCTGGTCACTTGAAATGTGACTATACACCTGGAAAAAAGTTAAGCACCCCCAAATATTTTTCAGGATTGCTTATTGAAAATAAGGTTTAATTTTCATGATGTTGAGCAATGTTCATAATTTCAAACATAATTAAAAGGATGTGAGCGTTCAGGTGTGACATTTAAATCAGGCG